AACGATGCATATTGTAGAGGGTGTCACCTGGTCGGTTTTCCCGTGGGATTTCCCTAATGTGAAATAAATGGCCTCTATCCAATAGCTCAATTTCAGTACGGTTCTGTCCTAGAAGACATGGTTCAAATTTTATTTATTTTTGTTGGGAAACTGTAGAGTTGAATTGCTGTTGCTATTACTTTTTCAATCTCCACGACGTGAACGCAGTATGTCAATAATTTTACCGTGAAAAGAATTACAAGTAGTAATTATACATATATCGTGCAGACATATTTTCGATAAAAGTAATAGGAATAGGTGTTAAATTACGTCAGAAGGCCTAAAGGAGGAAATGGGAAAATTTGCACGTACGAAATGCACGCGTTGGAGCGTTGCTTTTGCCCATTTTCGGTTCTGTCGCAACCCGCATCACGTCTCGACTCAAATATCATTCCCGTGTTATTACCATATCAACTCTGAATACAAATACTGGAATGAAATAAATGTATGCAGCATACAACTAATATAACATTATCTAGATTCAGGCTCTATAATAAAGCAATTGTAACATTACCGTTAAAGATGAGAATCAATTAAAACTATAATGTACCTACTCATTTTCTACCACATTTAACACAATTTATATTTACATCTACGCACGTGATCGTTTCATTTTTTTATATGGTACACTTTTGTTTTACTAACAAATTCTAATATTTTCTCTGAAATCATCAATAAGAAGGATAAGCCAACAGATAAAGGAGAAAATACAAACATTGATAAACGTTTCATTACCCCCATGTCCGTATATTTTTAATATGTTTATCGAGGGTTATGAAAGTTTATGTAAAATATAGATCTCCATTGGTGGTTCAAAAATAATGTTTCCACGGACGTGTGAGAAATTAATTTAACGGGTTTGTAGTGAATAAGTGCGAGGCGACGGGTAGTACGTCGACGTTTCTCGTGAACAATATTCCCAATGGAACGAGAAGGGAGCTCGTACGTTAGGGAGAGAGGAACGGTATAACGTCCGTAATCGCTATCTTGGAAACAATAAGTGTGCGCAAGCAAGGGCAATTTCCATTTAGGGCGAACAAAACCGCACGAGACCTGAAGAAAATTAAACGACAGGTTCGAGGCAAAGCAATAAAACACGATCGGGACGAAGTCAAAGGTGAACTCTTTTCTTTTTCAATGTGTTTTGGCTCGAACATCTGCAGGCGTTCGCATTTGCAACGGGTTCCCGGATTTTATTGGAGCTCGTTTCAAATAACTGTAGGTGACCACACAGAAATAAGAAAAGAAGATGAAACAAGAGTGCCTTAAAAGGTGGAAATTATTCCTACTGATCCAATACCAAGGTGATCTGTATAATATTTTCTTGTTCTAGAAAATGATGCTTTCAACTGATAGAATTTGGTAATCGATCGACAACACTTTTTTGAATATTAAACTTTGCAAACTCGTTAGAAATTAGTCACACAAGCAAATCACGCACTATTTAAGTGCATGGAATAACGAATAATTTGTACCTAAAACATTGAAAGAGCCAGTAGATTCAAAAAAGGCGATTAATTTTCCTACATAATAGATGACTCAACTTAGGACAGACTCGTAAAAAACATACTGAGCCCTATAATAAGTTTGGATATTAAAAGAAGCAATACTAGAGAAGCCTAGTGAATATTTTCTGAATATCACGAACTACTACTCCAATAGTTTAATGTACTCATTAATTTTTTGAATTTTCCTTACTTTAAAGTAACAGCGGCTAGCATCTGTAACAGATAGTTGCAACTTGTTTGAATGCTACTGATAACTGCACTCATATCGTAACTTGCGTAATTCTACAGCAATAGCACACATCAGTAAGTTAGTTTAGATGCTGATGGACGTGCAATCCCTCCGACCTACACTCTCATACAAAGTATCCATTTAGGAATTCTGGGAATAAATGGATGGTGGTTTATGGAGATGCAAAAGATGAGATGGATGAAATGAAGATAGAAGAGAAGTGAAATATTATCGGTAAAATGCAAATGATCCAGCATTTGACTAAATGATCGACGGAAATCACGGAAAAACTTGGACCAGATTAGACGGACCAAGAATTGGAAAGTTTTTCTCTCAACTTCTAAACTGTGATCTAGGCCGGTAGATTACGCCGCCCAGCTCGGTTTGGAAATATCTACCTGCTTGCAGGTGGTTGGTTGTTATCTTGATAAGTAGTATGGGGTAGATCGGGGTCGTTAGTTGAGAGAACGTCGAGTTGCTTCATTGCAGTGCTTCCGCGACTCGGTTCTTTCCCCCCGGGCAAACAACACAAGATTGAATATGAAAATTTAATCAGGTAATTTCATAGGGGATGATGCTTCGGTGCTTTGCCGAGAAATTGTGCGCTGCTCCTTTGCTTCGACGTCTTACGCCAATTTACTTAGTTATCCTTAAATACAATTACTTTGAAAATTGCATGTAACTTGGAATTGCCAATAGCTAATTAGAACGCTAGACTTCCGAACAAGCCATCTACTGGGAGGACGGTTCGAGGTAGATAGCGTTTTTCCGGCTCTTTTGAATAATGAGATCGCAGGCGGCAGACGACGAGCTTCCGTTTCGCTATTAAACATCTTAGTTGCCCGTCAAAGACTTAAATGATCTTTCGCAATTTTCACTTTTAATGGAGCTATCGATCCAAATGTTCTTTTTTAAATTGCCTACCTAATACCTATTCTTACATTAACATTAATTAAAATTTCTATGAAACTACGTTAAAACTACCCCAATAGGTATAATTGATTGGTAAATGTACTCTGTGTGATTACTATGCGTTGAAACACAAAGGTTTCTGCCCTAAATTATCTGAACGTTCACAGCTTCGTCGGTTGCNCAGACGACGAGCTTCCGTTTCGCTATTAAACATCTTAGTTGCCCGTCAAAGACTTAAATGATCTTTCGCAATTTTCACTTTTAATGGAGCTATCGATCCAAATGTTCTTTTTTAAATTGCCTACCTAATACCTATTCTTACATTAACATTAATTAAAATTTCTATGAAACTAATTTTAAGTTACAGAAATATGCACCACTGGTTTTGCAGGCTAACAAAATCTAGCGATGAAAAAGAATGAAACAAAGAAATAGTCATGTACATGATTTGTTCATGTCCTGGCAACGTCCTCGAATTCCAAGGCGAGATTAAAACTTCAATTAAATTAAATTTCCACTATGAATCGGTTATTTTTCCCTTCGGATCTGATGGCCATAGTTTTGAAGTGTTCTTCCCTTAATGATCATGATCCGTTTTTGTTGGACTTTAACTACTTTTAATTCAATCACAGTTAACGCAAAGGAAGGTAGTAATTCCCAGTAGGTACCTATTATAGGTATCAAATGAAACGCAAAAGGTTTAGGAATATGTAAACGTTTGTAAGGGCCAACGACAAGTTATTAAAAGAAAGCGTAGTAGTTTATAAAACTTAACGGTATGGTCTTGACGGACGCGACTTAAGTCGTTTGTTTGTTGGTTATAGCTAAGCGCTCTCGGAGATAGAACAGAAAACTGAAGTTAATAAGTTTACAAAGAACGCCTCGCAATTCTTTGTTTGCGGAATCGTGTCCCATTAATTATAATGGAGGTAAAGTCAAAACTTAAAATGAAGTTTAAGGGGTTTTCTTCCCGGATTGCCTCCGGTCGCAGATAAATACAAGCGCTTATTCTTTCCGACGCTGGAATTAAAAGAATTCATTTAAAAACAAAAAGGTTTGCCTGGAATGGAATACGGTTCTGCTGCTGCTTTATTTTTTTTTTCTTTTCCTTCTGGTTTTTAATGGAATCTTCTCTATGTTAATATTGCTTGTTATTTGAGATACCTATATCCACGAACCTGCTCGCACTCTTCTTGCAGCGTCCGCTCGCTGTCTTGATTAAATTTGATGAAAAATCCATTTGTTTTTGTCTATTTTATTTAGAGAAAGCACCGAGAAGATTGTCTTTATCAATTTTCATAAAAATATGAGATATAGCTTAGATAGGTACATCCTAAAATACGTTGCTTTACGCCAATTTGTGGGCATTTACTGCTACTGAAGTATTTCAAGCGTCATACATAAGCTACCAACTTGTCTAACTGCATGAATTAAGGTGACAAGCACATAAAATCATATTAATAAATTTCTGGCCAAGAACTTAAACGTTCTTAGCCTGCGCTATCTTCCTACAATTAGTGTTGTTCACAAACCTGTCAATAACTGTTTCATACTGCGTCTCATACTGGATTTTCGACTTTTATGAAACTAAATTTCGTTAAAAGTTGATCTGACAAGAAGACAAAAAAACACGTCCATTTTGCATTCTTTATTCAGTCTACGGAGCAGGTTAGATTAAAGTTTAGAAGTTTTCCAAGATTCCATCTATAGGTATATACATTCAATAAGTTTTCAGAACACAAGATGTTGAGCTCAGATTTGAAATATACCTATCTATGTGTTTTATGAATTTGTACTCATGTTACTTTTTCTTTGATATTATGCTCATATACTAAGTAAGTAAGAAATTTTCTGATTGGGTCTAAACCTCTTGGATAAAGTATCATAACTTTTTAATTTTATCAAATTCAAAAAAAGATACGTGTTATGAATAATAAGAAATAAAACTAACTGTATTGTACTTCAATACAATACAGCAAAATAATCACTAGAACAAATTCCTAATTTATGTAAAAACTGCTGTAAGAAATAGAGTGCTCTTGCCAGAATATTTTTGAAATATGTACCTCAATAAGTATTATTATGTACTTACTGTTTGCAATAGAGTGATCATTATCTATTTACATTCTGCTGCAAGTCTTCTAAAAAGGATTCTGTAATCCATAATGTATTTAGAATTGTTACTTTGAAAATTATCAACAAACAGCTTAATATTGTGGTAAAGAAATATTAAATATGACTGACATGTGGCTGGGTACTATGAAAGTTGACGATTTGTAAATGGCTCCAAATGCGATCATAATCCGTTTCAGGCGTGGAACGATCATACCGTTCGGATGATACGGAAGACGCCACAACGACTGATAATCCTACAACGCCTTTTCCAACTCCTCCCGCAACGTTGGCATCCCCTTTGAGGTCTCCTTTGCCACATCACCGCCAAGCGTCGCCATTCCCTCTCGAAAATACAAATTCCAGAAGGATTCACTATGCAACTCCTCAGGATCGGCTTCGAGGAACAAACGGTACGCTTTCCATTTTCCCTCGCTAGACATCTAATAAGCGCATGCCATTCGCTGCCTTTTCTCGATTTTTGCATTTCGCTTTGCTTCCTTTAGTCCTTGGTATTTAGAAGAGATAGCTGCTAATGTTACAAAGAAAATGAGAATGCCTTTACATATTTTCGAGCAATTCCGTCTTAATGTTAAATATCTAAATTCTATTCGAAAGGTAGCAAATCTTACATTGCTAATTTATGCTAGACACTGACTGAGTCCTTCATGTCGCATCCTCTTCTGACTTCTGTGATTTATGAGTCAATAAAATACCCTTGTTGAGGAAGGTATCTCTGGGTGCAGGTAATGAACACCAAAACTCTGCTACAACAACATAACACTTTGGCGACAATGAGACCTCCAATCATTATAATTTACAGCGTTAATGCTTTCTTTAGATGTTCTGGTCTTATTCATTTTTATATCCACATCGTCAGTGATTACAGATGCTTGGTCTTTTTCTATTTCCTCATGGAAACGTCATAATAATCATCGTCGTTGAGCTTTTCCACAAGTTTCCAAACATTGTATGACTTACGTAATTCTTACCATACACTAAGATGAATATCAGCTTCTTTCACATTTATAAAATCGGCAGGCTGATCCGTTATCTTAGGCACCTTTTCCAAACCCAAAAATGAATTAATGTCATATCTGATGTGTAGGTGTAGATAAGCAAGCGTAGAGTTGCTTTAACGAAACATTTATTTTTCCTTTCAGGAGAAGTCGCATATTCGTCTTCAAGTACAAAGAAATCGAATATTTCGGGCAGTGGTAGTAACAATAGCCGTAATCACAGGAGCCATCATGGTCGTAAATGTGGCATGACATCGTCCAGCAGTGCAACATCATGTAACAGTTGTGCTGACAGTGGACGAGAAGCGCCGTACGAACAACAGCAGCAACAACGTCATTGTGTCGATAATGGTAAGTCACAGTATTTGTGTGAGAATATACGTAATTATACTGTTCTGCAAATACCTGGGGCTGAGGCAATTAAAAATTTACAATTTATATAATATCACTTTTTATTTAAAGTTTTTTGCCCCATTTATATTATTCAATAATGAAAAACTGAAGTCGATTGTGTAACTGTTAAACAATGTGCCGCATCAGAACTTCGCAATGACTAAATCTAGTTGATAATTCAATGTGTCTTCTACAATCGATTTACGGTCCAGGTGATGGCGGTATAATTATCGGACACAATGAGCGCCTAAATGAATTACTTGGTTAATATCTTGCATGACGCAAACAGAAGTCGACTAGATTTAATATTCCGTCTAATAGGCGAAGGGTTAGATGAGACTTTAGAAGATCAGGAAATTTAATTAACATGTTTTACATAAGAAAGCACAGTATGCTTAACACGATAAATATCTATAGATAGTAACAACAGATGGAGATCCAGTTAAGTAAATGATCGAAACATGACATTACAAATATTGCTTTCGTTCTCATTTCGTATCTATTTGAAATTTATTTAGTCTACTACATTTGGACTACAACATAAAAACCTATTTCGTAAATGGATGTTAAAGAATTTTTATCATTGCTTTTTTTTTTGGTCGAAAAGTAAGTTTAGCTGGATTTGTGGATAATTCAGCCAAGAAGTTCTAATTTATTTCAATAATTTTACCACAGTAAATACTTATTTTCTTCAGATGTCAATGAAGAATCACCTCCAGAACCTGCGCCACCTGAAATTCCTCCCCGCGGTCCGTCCCTTCATTCCACCACACTGCGACGCCGAGGAGAATATTCGTTACCTCTCGGCGAAACGCAGAAGACTGATCATCCGGAATCTCAGTTCCTTTCTCAAGGAGGTAAGTTGATTCAATAAATATAAACACAGCCGTAACCGGACGAAGCTAATCAAGTAATTTGGACGATGAACGTTAAACGTATCATCACGTATACTGTTAGCAAATGATGCACAATATGAGTATACAAAAGTAAAAATGAAAGCAGTACCTACATAGGTAAACTAGGTACTTAAACGTAAAATTTTAAAAAACCAATAAGAGATGTGACTTTATTTATAACATATTAATTTGCACCATGTTATACAATATACAATAATATCGTCTGTGCAGTATGCCTTTGACAAAACGGTTTTGTTAGTATAAGAATAGCATTTTCAATGTTGTGCTTACAACGTTTATTCAGGCAATCATGATAATAGCCACTAAGAAGTTACAGCAAGTTATCTTCTATTATACATTTACTAGTGACACGTTCAGTCACCCATACCGACATTAAATTCAACATCATTTAGTGGCGCATTAACTGAGATTCAGTACGGGCTAACGCAGTATTTATAGTGACGAGTATTCGCGTGTTGTTTGTGTTACAGTAGTTCTTTTTTTATATTATTTATGTAAACGGATAAAAAGGGCCATGTTTGACAAATAAGTGCACCTAAATGCATACAGATACTTTCTCTCGGTGTCAGTAAGCAACAATCATGGACATATGTTTAGGTAACCGATGATTATTCGTTATTCCTTAAAATTATCTAAATTTTTAATAGTCTCGTCTGTTCCACTTTTAAAAACTGCAAGATACACCTGTCAGTATTAAAAATTAATCAGGATTAGATTACAACTTGTATAGCTAGACGCGTTTGTTGTTGTAGAAATAAACATTCGTGAGTTGTATTCCTAAATAGCAACGATTCAAATTGTTTTTTGTGTGTGCATTGTACACCTTTGTGTGCGCACAAAGCAACCCGTAACTCACAACCCCACGCCTCTATTTGCCGTTTCATGGCTCCCTATAATCTGTTTCCGATAGTTTTCCGGTGGAACACCGGGCTGCACCTACCTACTATTTACGCTACTATCGCTAATTCGCAATAATAATTGACATCTAGTTTCGCGGCCCGATATTATTTCACTCTCATTCAATAACGCGCACGATAAATTCAATTTTCTGTCTATAGGGCTTTGTTAACATCAAGTGGTTATTATTAAAGAAGTTTTATATTAAATGGTAAATGTGGAAAAAAATTTCGAATATCTTCTTTCTTAATAAAAATAAAAAATCAAATGTTCTTTATATTACGGAACATGAACTACCCAAATAGCGCAGAACGCATGTTTGCTGCTAGCGCCGCGCCGAAGCGGAGAAAATAGCAACGTGCGAAGGGTTCGAGTATTGAACGAACCCCCACCTTTTACCAACACGACGCTACAGGTTAAATCCTGCGGTGGTGACCGTTTCATCTGCGGCATAAAACAGATGAAAGGCTGCAGCCTCTTTTGGGCCATTGTCAAATATGAAACAAAGGCACTTTAATTATGGAATTAGAAAAAGGTTTTTTTTAAGTCGTTACAAGCTTTAATTAACGAGTTCGTTAAAGGGTAGGAATCAATCGCGAGTAAAAGGATTAACAGGAATTTAGTCCTAGAAATTGTTTTCTTTACGGGCAAGTTTCCTGATGATTAAATTTTTTCCTCGATAACATTAGATCGTTAAATTTTGACAAATAAACAAACAAACGGGACAAACACCAATAGCTTCGTTAAGGATAATCATCAAAACAAAGTACATTAACGAGTTTGTACACTGAACAACCTGAAGTCAATTTCACATAAAGAAAGCCTGATTAGTTTGACTAGAAAAATCGACATAATACTCTAGCAATATTCTTACTGTAGCCTTATTTTTAAGTAATCTATTAACAAATAGCAGCACAGCTCAAAAAGATATAAAAATGACATGTCTCATATTGCCCCATAAAACTGCAAACACGCTGGGGTTGTTGGGAAAAGCATGTACTTCTAAAATTGCCCACTCTAACTTTAAGGGAGGACACAGAACTCTAACGAGACACAATTGTAATCATAATATCATCCACCTTTTGAATTAGATGTCTGGCACACAAATTGCTAGTATTATTCGGGAAAACTATTTACCACTTGACCTTAAAAGTAAACTTTCTAATACTGTTCTTCAGTAGGTATTAAATTTTTGTGAAATTCGTTTTTAAATGAAATAAATTGCTAGTAAAACTATGAAATAATCATAACCATTATATGTTTATTTAATATATCACTCATTGAATTCTGCACAAAACTATTACCTATATTATTTCTGTCTCTCTCAATTAAAAAGTGCATTAATTTTTATGAATATTTAATTCTTGTTAAACGTCAATGATAATACCCTCTAAGAATATTATAATAGACTGAAACATCAACCTGTCCGTGGCAGTAGCATGGGGAGGCTGTACGTAATTAATCAGTGGACCACTTAATATCCTTTACATGTACCAGTTATTCAAGGGTAAGGCCCTTTACAAGAAGCTCGCATTTGTCATCTTTTAGACACTTCATCGCGTGTGCAGTAAATGCTTGATTGCGTTTCCTAACAGTTAATAGATGTCCAAATGCTGGATAGCAAGTCTACGTTTATGTATAGGCAGCCGCATCCCTAAATTACTTACTTGTAATACACAAAATACGATATAAGTTACATCCGATAAAATTGTAGGTTATATAGGTTGGCATTTTATTGCTTGGACTTTTGATACATTTTAATATTTTTATGTACCACCTGTGCACCTTGTTCATACGAACGTGGTTGTCCTGCGGCCGCCCCTGTCTTTGGTTACACTAGTACAGGGGCATACAACTTTTGCACTCTAGCGACCTAGTTTTAAATGTAGTCAACTAGTAGTCATTATGAAAGATAAAATACTTTTTTAAGCTATTATAGGGTACTTATTAATCTTATTGCAAATTCAGAATGTACATTCTTGAATAGGGGTAGCAAATGTATAAAGAAGAAGTCCTTTTCTACCGGAAGTAAGGACAAGCCGGCAGTGGATGGATACACTGGACTCGAAGCTTCCGGGCACAGATAAGTTCATATTTCATAAACCAGTGAATGCCCTTTTGGTGGCAGAGCTCCACAGAATGAAAAGGTAGGGAAAAGAGAATTACGACCCCCGTTCTACATAAATAGACTAATGAGATACTGAAAAAGACACTTTTATGGTTACTACAATGCATTACGGCTTCCCAGCTTCCTTTTCTTCGCATTATTCTCAATGATTAATAACTAATTGGTTTCGTAATGACAATAATTGAGAGGAATTCTGAATGAGCAAAAAATATTAAACGAATTAATAAAAGGTGTGTTTGACAATTCTTTGAAGTACCTGACTAGACAATACAAAATACCAAAATGTTTATAATAAATAGCATGTTACTACAAACAGAATTCATTAACGTTTTTTTTATTCTACATTCGCCATGGAACGTTGATAGATTCCGCAGTAGGAAAATTATATTATTAAAACATCTTCAATAATATACGAATTTCAACCTATTCGGTCATCTTCAGCTTGATTTAACTTTCGTTATTTAATTAACTAATGAGTGATGGGGATACCGTGGATAGAGAAGGTTAGATATGAAAAGGAATCAGAAAGAATAGGAGAACAGAGGACTCTATGGAAGTCAATAAAAAATAAACGAGATAGGTTGGTAGGATACCTTCTCAGGCATGAAGGTCTAGTAGTCTACATATTAGAGGCAGAAACAGGAATTAAGAGGAGTAGAGGAAGACCTAGATTATATTACTGTTCGCAAATAGTTAACGGTGTGGGATGTTCTAGTTTTAGGGAAACGCGAAGATTAGCTCAAGATAGAAAAGAATGGTGTGTGTCCAACCAATCTTAAGACTGACAACCTTATGATAATGAATTAACTAATGGAAAGTTCTGCAACTGTTTACCAGAATGGGACAGATGTAAGGGAGAGAACAAGTTGAGAAGAGAGATGATGGAATATGTGCTAACTTTCTGCCAGGCCGCGGCGTCAAGCGCATTTTAAATTGAATATTCCCAGTGTTCAGTTCTCTAACAAGGGGAATATTTCCCGGAGGTCTTATAACTTCTCCCCATAGTGTACGTTATAATATTGTTTTTCTGTACCACCTTCCTTGCAAATAACCCACCGAACTTATTCGCGTTCACTGGACGTGTGCAGGAATTTCAGCTTGCGCTTCGACTTTAATTTGGCTAATTGCCTATTTGAGTGTGGATGGCTTGAGATTAGAATATTGGTCACTATCTATAATTTTTTATCATATTTACGTGTATCTAAATTAACGATAGCTGATTACTTTCAACATCATACGAATGTATAATCCAGGATGTTTGTAATTTATTCAACACGGTATCATCTGTATTTTAATAAGACCACAAAGGATCCTTTAATGTTTTTTTTACATCATTGTCTCCTTCTCTCTAGAATGTCTGGTATTCGTGATATTCATCATTGTATGAAATAATTACTCATATTTACGTTGAGTATTCTCGATGAGTTTGCTTATGTCCGCCCTTAACCGACCCCTTTGTGTAATTTCTGTAAAAGTGGATTTGAGAAGATGTCAGGAACACAAAGCCTCGAGTTTCTGGTGGCTTAACACTTGCTCTCTTGCCTAGAGGATGTTCATCCTTTCCCGCACGTGTTCCATTCGAACGATTTCGCATCGACGGACTTACACCAACATAATTTGCTATCTGAAGTTCTTCAAATTGGTTTGACAGTCGGAAGATCGATAGCACCACCATGTGGAAATGCGGCAGTTGTTGCACATGGCACACTGGGCGTCGTCATCCGACCGATTAGTAAAGTATGAGGTCCTTTTGTCTTTGTCAATTTGAACTCATGAAAAATAACCCTTCCTTCGAATGACTAATGTCAACGAATAGAATTTAATTTGAATGTGGTAACAGACGTAGTAGAAAAAAGTTTAATTTTGAATACCACACGATTCCGTTTAGATACATAATTAGCTAAAAGAAAAAAAG